AATCCATTTTTATAAAGCTGTGATAAATTTTAAAAATACCCTATTTTATTTTTGAGTTAAGACTTCCCGCACCATATTTATTTTAAATACAAAATAAATATAATATATTTATTATATACTGTATAAATAATTATCTTGACTTTAAATTTTATTCATTTTTTAATTAATATTGATATTTTATTAAAATTATAAATACTGTATATTAAAAAAAATTATTATTATTATTAATATAAGTGTCAAGTGTATATACTAAATCTTGAATTTGCAATTTTTTACAAATTATAAATTAATATAAAAAAAATTACAAAAATATTTTTTATTAAATACAGTATATATAATATATACTGTATATTGTATATTAAATTATTAAATAAAAAAAAATACATACATTATAATCTATCCGGGTTTCTTTAATTCCTGTATATCAACGGTACGGTTAATGATGATATAATATAAAGAAAAATATAATTTTATCATTTTTTTTTTGTTTTTGTTTTAATTTAAATTTTAATTATTATAATAAATATTCAAAATAATTCTAATATAATAAAAGGTTTAAAGAACAGATTGAAATAATAAATGTATTTACAAAAAATATTTATTTTTTACATTGTCAAACTGTATAAATAATTTAAATAATTTATAATTATAATTTAGAAATATAAAATTGGAAATCACCTGACCGATGCCTGTACAAGGTGACCATCGATTATTTAGGGCAGAATTTTTTTGGGTCGATCTCCTTCGGACAAAATGTCAGGCTCAGTAACGTTCAATACTTCTATGGTAATTTCAAGATTTATTCATCATTCTTTTGCACATGGAATTTATCCATTCGATTATCAATTGGTTATGGATGTAAAATTTGTTCTCTTGATTTTGCATTGAAAAACAGGGAAAAATTACATTTGAATTATATTGGGATCATGCACCGAAAACTTGCAAAAACTTTCATGAATTGGTAAGATACAGAAGACGATGACTGTAAACAAATAGACTTGTTACAAATTAATTAATTTTTACCTCGGCGATTTAACTAATAGGCAAAGCGTGGGTATTACAACAATGTCATTGTAAGTGTATTCATTGTATTTCTCTAATTTAATCAAAAATTGAATAATATTCTTATCACCGGCGTACTCGCTTTAGTTTCATAGAATAATTCCGGTAAATAGAAAAACGAACCTTTTCTTTTCACCTCAAACTCCTCGAGCAAATTCACAAATCACCGATCTGACCAGGACACATTTACTCTTCGCTGTTATTTACTATTTCAGGATTTCATAATACAAGGCGGTGACCCAACCGGAACTGGTCGGGGAGGTTCATCAATCTAC